GTGTTACGTGTGATTATGTGTCAAGGGAGTGAAAAAGACAAGAACAACCTCAATTTAAGGGAAAGGAGGGATGGATGAAGGTTTGACAATGGAGTATGGAGGGCAGTTTTGAGCAGGGTTCAAACAAAGAGATAGGTGTAGTGAAGGATTAGGCCAAATGTGCTTGGATCAGAGCCTAGCTGGAGCGGATGAGGGACACATCTGTGTAAAAGTTAAGGTCAGAAAGCTGTGAAGATGGCAGTGTGTTGGGAGTCCTTGGGTGCTGGATTGATAGCTCTGACTTTTATTCTTGTGGGTAGTTGTTCAAAGCTTGTGAGCCAGGGAACGACATGAAAATGGGAGGCCAGAAATGAGGGACTGGAGGGAGAGAAACCAATTAGGAGGCCACTGCAAGGCTTTGAAGATAAGGTCCTGTTGTGGGAGTGGGAAAGGAAGGATGGGCTTGAGGGACATCAGAAGGAAGAATTGACCGTCCTTGCCGTTGATTGGATATGGACAGAGAGGGAGGAGAGAAAGTCTTTGCAAGTAGAAAGATTTACATATCGGCAGGAGTGTACTCTCGATTGATTATCTTATAAAAACTTTGGAGTTTCTTCTCTATGAGATAGGTAGGCAGTAGGTATCTCACTGATTAAAAATGACAAAACCAGAGAGAAACTCCTGGCTCAAAGGAGGGGAGAGTAGAAAAAAGCACTCCGATCTAGGATTACAAACCCTGGGCTATGTCCCAGCATTTTTTTCCCCCCAAGAATTCATTTCACGTATTTGGACAGAATACAGGCATACCTCGGAGATATTGCCAGTTTAGTTCCAGACCACTGCAATAAAGCGAATATTGCAATAAAGTGAGTCGCTCGAATTTTTTGGGTTTCCCCGTGCATATAAAAGTTACGTTTACACTGTACTGTAGTTTGTTAAATGTGCAATCGCATTATGTTTTAAAAAAAAGACAATGTATATACCTTAATTAAAAAATACTTTATTGCTAAAAAATGCTAACCATCACCTGAGCCTTCAGTGAGTTGTAAACTTTTTGCAATAGTAACATCAAAGATCCCTAATCACAGATCACCTTTAACAAATACAATAAGAAAAAAGTCTGAAATACTGTGAGAATTACCAAACTATGATGGAGACACGATCTGAGCAAATGCTGTTGGGAAAATGGAGCCGGTAGTGTTGCGTGATGCAGGGTTGCCACAAACCTTCAATTTGTAAAAAAAACACCCCGCAGTATCTGTGAAGTGCTACAAAGTGAGATATTCCTGTACTTTAAAACTCACTGGGGCCAGTCTCCTTACCTGTAAAATATTTGTCTATTATCTATTTTATGGGTCTCAGCCCAAATCACAGCCATTATTTATTAAGTACTTTAGCATGTAACAGAATTTGTGTTAAGAACTTTATTTGTAATTTCTTATTTAATCTTTAGAATGCCCATTCTGCATTTAAAAAAACATTCAAAAATTTAGTAGCTTAAAACGATATTCATTTTATTTGTTCTACAGTCTGGGCTGGGCTGGGCTGGGCTCTGGTTCTGCTGGTCTTGATGCTGGTCACTGGTGCCCTTGCAGTCAGCTGTTGGGCCGGCTGGGGGCTGGGCTCAGCTCCGGTGCTGCATGGCTGGCGTTCTCCCCGTCTCCTCCTATCTCAGGGCCTCTTCCTCTGCACGTGGTTTCCCCAGCAAAGTGGTTGCATTCTTCCCTAGTGGCTCAGATCTCCCAAAATTACAGAAGCAGAAACTTCCACACCTCCCTTGGGGTTAAAAGAGGGAACAAACACAGATGCAGGGCTGCATTTTCCAGGCGAAGGCAAATCACTGGCCCAGCCCAGCTTTAAGTGGGAGGGACTCCATAAGGGTGTGACCAAAAGAAGCGTGGTCCATTGAAGGCCTGCAGTGTCACAGACTACCACACTATCATCTCCAATTTGTAAATGAATAATCTATGATTTAAGGGAGGTTAAATTACTTGCCCAATGTAGAGAGTAGAGCTAGGCATTTCAAAGCTTGTGTTCTAAATCAGTGGGAACAGATAAAATTTGTATATAGTCGTTCCTCAGTATCAGCAGGGGGTTGGTTCTAGGACACCCCGCCCCCCCCACCAAAATCTGAGGATGGTCAAGTCCCTTATATAAAATGGCGTAGTATTTAAATATAACCTACACACATCCTCCCATATACTTTAAATCAGCTCTACGTTTCTTATAATAACTAATACAATTAAATGCTATGTAAATAGTTGTCAGTGTGCCACAAATTCAAGTTTTGCCTTTTGGAACTTTCTGGATTTTTTTTTTTTTAATCCACAGTGGATGTGGAACCCAAGGATACAAAGGGCCGACTGTAATTTGTTTTAATCTAAAATCCTGTGAGGTGGGTACTGTTACTGTTTGTAATTTACAAAGGAGAAAACTCAGGAATAGAGAGTTTCAGTATCTTGCCTCAGGTATTTTCCTCTGGAGATTCATTATACACTTACCTGTTACACCATACTGCCTCTTATGGGCAGTACCTGATATATACAAGGCACCTGTAAATGTTATTTAATCTGAAACTATTGTTTGAAGCACTGAAGCAAATCTCTTTGGCCATCCACTATCATATCTTATAGACTGGGAACTGGGAGTTTTCCCTTTGAGCTATCACGTGATCAGAGCAATTTCCATTTCAGGCATCTACTTTGTCCTCCACTATCTATGTCTTGAAGTTTGGCAAGGAATGACGGCATCCTTGCCCACCCAACCTCAATCCTGATTCTCCCTAACTGATTAATCTCATGGCTCCCTCAGCATCTTCCTCTGTGCAGCAGCCAGGAACTCTTTACAAAGCAAGACCTTCCTTCCTGGGATAGGACCTTCCTGGAGTTGGGCTGGCCTCAAGGTTGCATCTGTTCATCAAGTGGCTTCTGAATTAGTAACCTTTCGGTCCCAGTCACTTCCTCTAGTTCCAGAGCTAATTTTCCCATTGTTGCAACTGTGGTGGCTTCTGACGATAGCTTGTAAAGATGCTATTTCCCATGGAGTGACCTGTAGCAGCTTCCCCTTCCCTCTGCTGGTCCTATGGGCAGAGGACTTGCTGATGGGAAATAGTTCCAGAGTCTCCTGAAGGGAGCCATGCTCTGCTCACCTTTGACAGTGATCCACATGACTGTCTTTCTCTCTCAGGCAGTCTTGATTTTCCCATCTGTGGGGAGTTTGGAATCAGAGCACACCCTCAAACACAGATAATGGGGGGCGGGCTCACTTAGGAGGCCTCTGCTCTATTTTGGGTACTGACAGGGAGAAGCCATTCAGGGAATGTGCCCCAAATACTCTTACCTTTTCCAAAGCAAAACTATGGGGTGTGGGGCTTCCCTGGTGGCGCAGTGGTTGAGAGTCCGCCTGCTGATGCAGGGGACACGGGTTCGTGCCCCGGTCCTGGAGGATCCCACATGCCGCAGAGCGGCTGGGCCCGTGAGCCATGGCCGCTGAGCCTGCGCGTCTGGAGCCTGTGCTCCGGCAACGGGAGAGGCCACAACAGTGAGAGGCCCGCGTACCGCAAATAAATAAATTAAATTAAATTAAAAAAATAAAAATACAAAAAAACTATGGGGTGGCCTTGTCTTTCTCATAAACTTTCCTCCTTCAAAGCAACTCCAGATTTTAATTTTGACTTTGTTCCACCCTTATAAAACTGTGAAGGCACAATACTTGCACTTGATACAATTCTATTTTATTTAACAAAGAGGTACGTAGGCAGGTATGTCTTCAAAGTGCTTTACATATATCGCCTCATATGACTTATTTCATAAACTTATGTTTGAATCAAATGGGGTCGGGTAGGGACTTTCTGAAGCCTGACTTACCTCGCAGCCACTCTCCCCTTCCCCCCCACAATGGAGAAGGGACAAGGAAAGAAGGAATTGAGCTGCTCCAGAGGACCAGGCCGCCTCCTGCTTCCAGCAGCTGTCTTGCCAGTCTAGATCTAGCAGGGGGTCTCCACCCCTCGCCTAGATCCAGTCGGTGGGAGGGTGGGTGGTTTTTTCCGGGTCACTGGCGCACCCTCTCTGCTCCCAGCCACCTGTTCCGGTTCCATCCCGGCTCCAGGCTCTCTGGAGGGCGTCAGGGACATTCCAATCCTCCCACTACCCGTGCGGATGTCGCGGGAGAGGGGGGCACGATCGCTGTCCCTTTCCAGCGCCCAAGCTTTGACCAGGTTTCTTCTCAACCCCTAGTGACTTGAGTCACCCTGGAGAGGAAAACAAGGATTGATAAATGGTTTGAAGGTTGTTTACAATGAACCAGTTGGCGAAGCCTCATCCCTAGCGACAGAGGCACTTTCTGGGCACCGTCTGCGCACGAGCAGACAGTTGAAAGCCAAACAGCCGAGATGCCTCCTCGCCAGACCAAATATGGTCACAAGCGCTAAGTAGCCTCCCGTGGAAAGGCTGGCCTCGCTGGTGTCTCCCCGCGCCGGGGCGCACCCGGGCCCGCACTCAGGCAGAATCACGGATCAGTGCAGCGCTCCGGCGCTCCCGGCCTCGGCACCCGGCACTAAGGGAGGGCGCGGCGCCCAGGACAGGCCCTTACTCGGTCTGGGCCCCCCACCCGCGTGCCCTCCGCCGCCCCCAGCCTTGGTTTCGGTCCACAAGTCCTTGATTAAACAGGCTCGGGCCACTTTCCCTTTGATCCCGCCCCAAGTCCGTGGTAAACTCAAAGGAATGCAGATCCAGGGCTCCGCGGGAGAGGTACGCGCGACCAGGAGGAGTGGGTGGAGGGCACCCGTCTCCTCTTACCCTGCAAAGTACCCAGCACGCCCAGGGTTTTCTGGAGCCGGGGGTGGGAGGAGGAGGAAGAGAAAGGGGAGAGACGAGCGGGGGCAGGCAGGCTGGGGACTTGGAGGTCATGCATAATTCAACAGCTCAACTTTCGGCCCCGCCTCTTTCCTGGGAGTGGGAGTTTGCTCCAAACTTTGTTTATGGGACAGTCCGGGAGCCGCGGCGGCCGCGCTGTCTGCTTCTCCTCAGCCTCCTCGCGGAGCGCGAGCGCCTGAGGCCAGTTCGGGGGATGTGAGAGCAGAAGGCCCTCGGCTGCCAGGCACCGAGTCGGGTCAGGATTTGCCAGCCGGGCCCCGGCTCCAGCCCTGCAAGCTCGGGACGCACCCTAGCGACCCAGGCCCGACAGCGAGTTCGGGCGGGACGGCGGCCGCCGCACGCCCAGACTCGGCTTCGCTGCGCGCCCAGGTAGTGCCCGCTGGCGCGCGCCCGCTCACCCGGCACCACTCCAGGGCGCCCGGCTCCTTGGGCTTCCGGAGTTGAGATGTCTTGGAGCTGGCTCCGGTTGAGACTTTGGGGGGCTGACTGCCCTGTCCTTTGCCACCAGCAGTTCAGCAGCGTCTCCAGTGCAGTTAACTCCCAGCGGCCACCCCATCCCCCCTTTCCTGGTAACTTCTTGGCTTCAAGAAAGTTGCATAATTCTGGAGGCCAGGAGGGACCCCTCCCCCCATCCGGCTGGTCTTAACTGCTGGGTGTCTGGGATCCCGAGGCAGACACCTATCTGTCTCTTTTGCTTTTTCTCTCTATTCTTCCCCCCGTATCCCCCTCTCCGACCCTCAATAAAAGGCTAATCTGACCTCCTTTCTCCTTGCAGAAGATGAATCCGGCCTCGGCGCCCCCTCCGCTCCCGCCACCCGGGCAGCAAGTGATCCACGTCACTCAAGACCTAGACACGGACCTCGAAGCCCTCTTCAACTCGGTGATGAACCCCAAGCCCAGCTCGTGGCGGAAGAAGATCCTGCCCGAGTCGTTCTTCAAGGAGCCTGACTCCGGCTCGCACTCGCGCCAGTCGAGCACCGACTCGTCCGGTGGTCACCCGGGGCCCCGACTGGCCGGCGGCGCCCAGCACGTCCGCTCGCACTCGTCGCCCGCGTCTCTGCAGCTGGGCACCGGCGCGGGCGCTGCGGGCAGCCCGGCGCAGCAGCACGCGCACCTCCGACAGCAGTCCTACGACGTGACCGACGAGCTGCCGCTGCCCCCAGGCTGGGAGATGACCTTCACGGCCACTGGCCAGAGGTACTTCCTCAAGTAAGTCAGCCTGGAGCTAGGGGGGACACAGGGTCACGATACCCAGGGTGTGCACGCTTGTTCTTGAGTGTGTGCGTGTGTGTGTGTGTGTGTGTGTGTGAGAGAGAGAGAGAGAGAGAGAGAGAGAGAGAGAGAGAGAGAGAGGGGATGTGTCACCTTCCACGGTTGTTTCCCAGAGATCTGGGAGGCTGGAAGTAGGCAGTGAGTCTCTGGGTGTTGGAATTGTAAGGGATCAGAAACTGAGTCTGCTGAAGTTCTTCCAGGGTTCTGGAAGTCACAAGAGATTCGGGACATGGAAACTCTTGGAGGTACAAGAAAAAAAAAAAAACTTTGGGGAGAATTCTCATGAGACACATAGGTGACTATGCCCTGCAGCTGGAGTACTGATACAGACTCCTGGACCCAAACTCTGACTCCCTTCCCTGCCCACCCTAAGTCAGATAATCAGAGCCCGGTCCCCTGAGATATGGCATCAACGTAAATGCTAGAGCAGATCTGCGGCTTGGGGAGGAGAGGGACTCTTGGTAGTGTAGGTGGTCCCCAGTCTCTCCGTTCTTGGGAAAAGCAGTCTGGAAAAGTGAACACTGCCTGGTAGGCCTTACTGGTGACGTGATGACCACACAGCACCTGTGATGTAATTAGTAACTGCCTGGTAAAGTAGTTATAGGCTGGACAAATCAATTGTGTGGGAATTGGGTCGGAGTTTTATTATGTCGCCCTTGGTAACCTAGAACACCATCGAATCAGGAGCCTGCTTTGTCATTCTTCCCTTCCCTTTGTTCCAGCTTTTTGATGTAATGAAGTTTACATTTGAGTGGAATTAGACTGTATAGGAAAATATATTCATAGGCATAAAGAAGGTTGTTTCAGTTGTGGTACCCTAAAATAATTATATTCTGGAGGGGAAGCCAAGCTGGAACTTGAAATGTAATTAGTGAGGTCATGGGGGGGGGCGGTCAGGCTATCAATGGCCTGGATTGAAGTTGTGCCAGCAGGACCACTTGGTCCAGGATTGCCTGCACTGGCTGGCTGTTCACTGCCATGGAGGGAAGCTCCTCCTCTAAGAACTTGCCTTGGAATTTATGTTAAAGCCCATATTTCTTTGACTGAGTGGCTTTAGTTTAGACGTTAAGATGTTATGTGCTATTTTAAAAAGATAATCAACCCTTTCTTTGGCACTAATGATACTTTGATTGCTGTGAGAGGACCCTAATAACAAATACACAAGGATGGATGAGGCTTATAATAGCCAACCCTTTGACTCATACTGGTGGCCAATTATTCCTTTCCCATCCCAAAGCTGTTGATGTCTTGTGCAAGGAGGAGTGCTTTATTTTTTTTGCTGGGGTTGATGCATTGCTGAGAAGCCCTTGTCCTAAAACAGACTTGATGGTCATTTTAGTCCACAACTGGTCCTCTCCTGGTTTTTGAGTGACAGTGTGGACACGTACTTAGTGCTTTGATTTCTTTTTTTTTTTTTAATTATTTATTTTTGGCTGCGTTGGGTCTTCGTTGCTGCGCACAGGCTTTTCTCTAGTTGCAGCGAGCTGGGGCTACTCTTCGTTGTGGTGCGCGGGCTTCTCGTTGCAGTGGCTTGTCTTTGTTGCGGGAGCACGGCACGGGCTCTAGGTGCGCGGGCTTCAGTAGTTGTAGCACATAGGCTCAGTAGTTGTGGCTCACGGGCTTAGTTGCTCCGCGGCACGTGGGATCTTCCCAGACCAGGGACGGAACCTGTGTCCCCTGCATTGGCAGGAGGATTCTTAACCACTGTGCCACCAGGGAAGTCCAGTGCGGAAGTCCAGTGCTTTGATTTCTAAATGGTTGGTGGAATTCAAGTATGTGATGTAATAGCATGACATTTTTCTAAGTGTGATGATATTGTTCCAAAGGATGGCATTAGTTTGTATACTATATAAAGATCCTAAGTAGCATCTTGTATTGCTTTACTTAGGTAAATGCAGTTTTGAATATCTTACTGTGACTTTTATGGAAATGGACTTAGTAGTACCTACAAGTAGAAAAAGAACCAATAATTTCTAATAATTTTGGAGGCTATTTTTGGTCCCAAATGATTTTTGAACTGTGTTTATAAATGTACACACACAAATATGTATATGATTGGTATAGCTGGTTGTTAAAAATATGAAATAAGAGCTGGGCTTGCCTAATATCTGAGGAAAGCTAGGGGGAAAAGATCCCTAAACAGAAATAAAACAAAAGAGTTCCCTTTCGTACAGGCTTTGAATGAGTGGAGTAGCTCTAAAATATGTTTGTGAAACTAGGTTAAAAATGGAAGTAAGCCTTGGGTTTAGAGAAAGTTGATCCTCTCCATTTGCCTCAACCCCCCAGCTAAAAGTCACTCCTCAGTCCAAAGCTGGGTGCATCTTCATTTCACTTTGGATAGTCAGTAAAGATAACTGGAAAAACGTATAAGCAGTAGGCCTGTAGGCTTGATCTGATGCTATCCCTGGAAACTTTTTGGCCAAGTAGCTAAGGGAATTTAAGAAATTAAGTCACTGTGACTTTTGTTTTTTGAGATAAGCAATCTGCCAGGAGTTCTCTGAATTTCTTTTGGAGCTTTGTTTAAAGTTGGAATAAGATAAATGTTATATGCCACACTTGGTTACACAGCCTCAAAAAGCAATGTATTTTGGTGGATCTATGTAGAAGCTTGGAAAATGGTGGCAACTAACCCTGAATTAATTTTCATAAAATCTACCCATGACTTTGCCCCAACATCTGTGAAATGGGGCTAGCAGTAGAATCCTATTCTTGATTTTGTCAGGAGTTGAGGGCTTTATAAATCAGAAATCAAAGTATTTTATAATTGACAAGGTCATTTTCTTGGGGGGAAGGTTAGAAAACTGAGGCCAGGGAAGGTTATTGACGTGACTTGGGGAATGCCATTTGTGGTCATTTAATGGTGGACCCTGGACTGGCCCTCTAATCTGTTGTCATCTACTTAGGGAGCAGTTTTCCGTTTTCCCCACTCCCACCTGTATCCTCATGTCACTTCCCCAGCTGAGCAACGAGCTTTATGGGATACAAAGCCTGGACATCTAAGAAGCTTTAAAAGACCGTTTTGTCATTTTCTCAGGCAAGATTGTTCCTAGGTATATGGTGTAATCACTTTCTGGTACCTGTTACAGGGCACCTTTTCTAAGCATTCACACCTTCCCTGTGGTGTTAGGGTAGCATTTAACAATGGGGAGGATAGAATGTTAAAACGCATGGCCTCTGAAGACTGCATTGTTCCTGCTGTTCTCTACAGCTCATAAATCAGGTTGGGGTGTGTAGGTGTTGGGCTCTTAGCAACTGGCACACTGACTTTGAACGCTGATCACATTAAAATTTTAAAAAAATTTCTGGTTATAAATGGAATACATGTTTGGTGTACATAGACCAGAAAATAGAGAATTATAAAGAAGAAAGTGATCTGGATTCAGTAGAACTTTCCATTCTTGTAGAAAATTTTTATTTGAATAACATATTCTGTAAGAAAAATTGTCCCCACTCTTAAATATAATTCCAACTATAATATTTGCTGGCACTCTCAATTTTTAGTAATAATTTTAGTGTTTTGCCTTTTCTGAAATGTGTGGTAGAAAATTATTTTTGTCAAAGTTATCTGTGCAGTTGGTAACAAACCCAATAGTATAAAAGGACTTTTGTTGAAACACAATGGTTTCCTTCACCTTCTCAAGGCTCTCAGAGGGAACCTTACAATTTTTAATTTATTTTTTAAAATAAATTTATTTATTTATTTATTTTTGCCTGCATTGGGTCTTTGTTACTGCTTGTGGGCTTTCTCTAGTTGCCGCGAGTGGGGAGCTACTCTTTGTTGCAGTGTGCAGGCTTCTTACTGCGGTAGCTTCTCTCGTTGTGGAGCACGGGCTCTAGGCAAGCAGGCTCAGTAGTTGTGGCACACGGGCTTAGTAGCTCCGCCGCGTTTGGGATCTTCCCAGACCAGGGCTCAAACCCATGTGCCCTGCACTGACAGGTGGATTCTTAACCACTGAGCCACCAGGGAATCCCCTTTATGGTATTTCTGATTCCCCATTTTGTAAGTCAAGGAGGTTTGGGTGGCCGTCAGTTCCACAATTTGCTTTTTGTTAGTGACACCTTAATATTCCAAAGCTCTGAACCCATAACCAATAAAAATTTTGTGCTTTGTCCCCAAATTGACTTTTTTATTCATAAATTATTCTTGAAGTTGAAAAACTGGAGGCAACATTTAATATAATTTATTGCCTTGTGTATTAACATTGGACCTTAGACTTGCACATTGTGTCTGGTGTCAGGACTCCTGGGACACTCAAAGGAGGATATATCCAGCCCCAAAGTCATAGGGATTCTTTCTTTTCACTCTTCATCGGTTGTTAAAATTTGTGTTACCTTTTAGTTTCTTCATCTTTGGATCTTGACTTTCTTAAACATTTTTTCCTATTATTTCTAATTGCCTTTTTATATGTTTATATACTATTTGCCTTTATTATGATTTCAAAATTTTCCAGGCTCTCAATCCCCTGGGTTCTGTCAGGTCTCCTTTCCTTAAGCTTTTATGTCCAGATTCCCTCAACTTTCTGTTCCATTCTTGTTGCTCTCCAGCTCTACAACAGAGCTGTCATCCTAGGGCTTCTCTTTACTTCTTTCCATGGCTAGGAGTACTGTTTGTTTGTTTCCCTCTTTTTTGGTTTATGCCCTCATTTTGCTGGAGTACATACTTGCGAAACTGTTTTTTTTAAATTAATTAATTAATTTTTGGCTGCCTTGGGTCTTCGTTGCTGCACATGGGCTTTCTCTAGTTGCGTCGAGCAGGGGCTACTCTTGGTTTTGGTATGTGGGCTTCTCATTGCGGTGGCTCCTCTTGTTGCGGAGCACAGGTTCTTGGCGCATGGGCTTCAGTAGTTGTGGCTTAGTTGCTCTGAGGCATGTGGGATCTTCCGCAACCAGAGATCGAACCCGTGTGCCCTGAATTGGCAGGCGGATTCTTTTTTTTT